CTTATACTCCAAATGACTGTTGTGTGTTTTAAATTATGCATTGTTTTGTGTCGTTTTAATTTTTGTTTGTATCCCCCTTCCCTGGTTTGAGTTGTGAGCCGCCCTGAGTCCCCTTCGGGGGAAAAGGACGGCATATAAATAAAATAAACATTCAAACATTCAAACACTGATCTAGAGCAGTGCTGTCAATCTTCTGGCCCACGGGTCGGATGTGTCATGTGCTGGCCATGCCCACACCTGGTTTAGCAAAGGGGGAAAAGTCTCAATAGTCATGTGATGCCACCATGATGACGTGAGTTTGACACCCCTGATCTAGAGGGTTTAATCTTTCCTGCCTTGTGCAAGTTACTTGCACTGCAAATTGGTGGGGGGGATCATTGGTACCCATTGGAGTTTACTGTACACAGCATAGGCTGTCCTGTCCACTGTGATCCCCATCCAGATGTGAGGAAGGGGTGATCTAGATTAGCTTAAAAATTCGCTGAAATTAGGGTCAGGTTGGGATTGGTAAAATTAGATTTCATTGCAATAACAATTCACACTTTTGTCTTGAATTCAATTATTGTATGGTCTTAATAACACATGTCTTTTTCTTTACCCATCTGGTAACAGTGAATGGTGAACAGGAGAACAGACTACAAAAAGGAAATGGGTACTTCCAAGTGCCACCACACACACCAGTTATTTTTGGGGAGGCTGGAGGACGCACTTTGTTTAGGTACTGAAAGTCTGGCAAAGAAGCGTGAAATCTGTCTATCTATCTATCTATCTATCCATCTATCTATCTATCTATCTATCTATCTATCTATCTATCTATCTATACATCCATCCATCATCCATCCATCCATCCATCCATCCATCCATCTATCCATCCATCTATCTATCTACACACATACACTAGTTGGACTTATATCTCACCATTCCTCCAGGAGCTCAAGGCAGCATGTATAACACTTTCTTCCATCCACCCCTCACCTCTACCCACAATAATAGTGTGAGGTTGGTTGGGATGAGAGAGAACAACCTAGTGACCTATACGGGTAGTCCTTGCAACAGATCACCCAAAAATTATAACCAATCACCCCAAAGGACTTATGACCCACTTTTAAAGTTTTCATGGTTGTACACAGAGAGAGACACAGAAACACATACGCACAGGTCATGTGATTGCATTTTGGGTGCTTTGCTTGCTTTCTCAATTTTTTATTAATCGGAATATAAAATAGGAAAATAATGGGAAACTAGGGGAAGGAAAAAGGAAAGAAGAGAAAATGTGGGGTAGAAGGTAAAAAAGAAAAATGGCATTGATTTCAGACTCTTTTTAGCACAGTAAAAGAGAATAACATTACAGCCTCAACTTTACTTTTACACAGTAAAACTAGCCATTTCTATAACAACAAACCTATCTAATCAGCAAAACCAAAATCAAAGTTTCATTTTTTTCAACTATCATTTATATTAACAAAATTCTCTATATTCTTTCAAATTCAAAGGGAAGAAACACTTTACATCCATTTTAAAATACTAAACTTTTCTTTAAAAACATTTATAAAAGAAATAAGTTCTAGTATATCTTTTTTAAACTTCCTCTTAACATACCTTAAAATTTGATGCCAGCTGACGTCACGGGACACCAGCTGATGTTGCGGCGAGATCGGACACGAGGAGCGGGTCTCTGCGCTCCCATGTGGAGGTGGGCTCTGAAAGGTGCTAAAGCCACCCTGTAGGGGTGGTGAAGAAAAGAGGGGCACCCTGCAGGTCGCGGAGAGCAGCAACTCTCCTGCTTGACCTAGGGCTTTTTCCCTCGCATCTACAACAAGGAGAAGAGGCAGCCATAATGGCTGCCATGAAGCTGGGACAGCTGAGGCAACAAAGAAATGTGCGGGAGCGGTGTAGATAAACAGTGACTGGAGCTCGGTGAGAAGATTCTTTTTTTATTTAGACCCTAACGTTAAAAGAAGAAGAAAAAAAAGAAGAAAATCCAGGAAAAGAGACTCTTAGAACTATTTCTTAAAGCGGTGAACAACCAGAGAGAAAAATCTTAGACCCGAAAGAAAGGAACTAAGGGGAGACCTTTTAAAACATAGAAAATTAGATTTTTAAATTGGGTAGGCGTTGTTTTGGAAAGGCATTATAAAATGCTGGAACTATCTACTTGAATAGCCGACTGCTTCTATAAATTGAACTAAAATTGGATTAATCAATTTATCAGACTTGAAACAATGCTGAAACCTAAGCTGAGGGCACCATCTATTGGTGAATGGAAAATATACAATACACCTACAAGCCTGGCAAAATACCTGATAAGAGAAATAAACAACATTCATCTGGAGGACTGTAGTGATACTTACTGTTCTATAACAGTGAGTGAGATTTCAAAAGAAATTGTGTTGATATAGCAAAGCATTAGGGATACTATGACAAAGAATCACAGAGAGATAAAGAACCTACTGCAAGGCATAAATGGGAAAATAGAAAATATCCTACTACTGATCATGAATGAAGATCAAAGAGTCCGGGAAAGAGAGGAGACAGCAGAAAGAATGGAGGAAAGGATAGAACAGACAAACCAGCAAATAAAGCAAGAAAATGAGAAGGAGAAGATGATAAAGATAATAATGACTGATGAAATAAACCAAGGGAAAAGTACTTTAAGAGATTTAAAAATGAAATTGGATAACTTGGAAGATACTTTTGAAAGGGAGATAGGGGTTTGGGTGGACACTCTGGAGACCTCGCAGCTTAGGAGGATAGAGATGGGAGAAATATTCAGACTGAATAGTGAAGACACAGATGCTGATAGAGACAAAGATCCAAGAGAGGAGTATGGGAGGCAAGCTAAAAAACAAATAAGAATTGAAGTATTAAAACGGGCAAGAGATGATGGATAGAAATAAACTTTTTCTTTTTTTTTTCTTTTTTTCTAATATAATGATGGCTTGATTAAAAACTGAAATAGAGGTAGAAATAAGAATACACACCTTTATATAAAGCAATAATTAGATGGAAAGATTGGAGGTTGAAAGATGGTATTATTAGGTATGTTTAAATAATAGGATGATTGGTACTAGAATGGTATTAAAATAATAAGGACTATGTCTTAATATAAACGTGTGTATTAACACTAGCATTAGTAATGGTGGCCTGACTAGAAACTAGAATAGAGGTAGAAAGAAGAAATAGGGGGAATATTAGCAGATATAATTTTTATATAATAGTATATAATAATTAGATGAAAAGATTAGAGGTTGAAAGATGGTATTACTATTTACGCTTAATATCATTGGCATTAAAATGGAACATTGAAATATTGAATAACTACTCTAAAACAAACATGTATATCAATACTAGGATTATATAAGTTTGATTAATGTAACAACTATTATTACTGTTTGTATCAAAATGAATTCTAACCAGAGGCCACACTGTTCATATATTGATATTGATGTATATTTAAAAATAAAAATCCAATAAAACCTTAAAAAACGCCATACTTTAAAATTCACTTTCAGAAATATTTTATGAGCTTTAAAAATTACTCAAGCATTATATATAAAGGGGAAAAACCATTTTCAAACCCATGTTATAAACACAAAACTACATTAAACCTTTCAATTACATATATCAGACCAATAAAAATCCAACTAACTCCAGTCAGCTCATTGAATTTAAGTCACTCCCTCTAATTTATCCTCATAGAATAAAATCTATTCTCTGGAATATCTGTCAAATAAATATCAAGTTCTCTTTTTTTCAAAAAAAATTGTCAAGAAAATGTCCCAAACCTGTCCTCTTTTAAGAGTTGCAAATTTACTTGGAACTCTTCTTTCAATTGCTCTGGAAGACTTGTATTTAAACAGTCACAATAATAAAGATTGGTGTCAGATTTATATTCCAAAATTGCAGTTAATTCCTTTGCATTGTCAGATGCTTATGGAATTGCCTCAGTGGTTTGGTAACTTTCTGCACATAATTACATCTCTGAATTACTCATCTTTCTTCCAATTAATTGGCTAGTTTTCATAACATCTTTAGAACATAATTGATCTATAAAGTGAAGAGTTTTATTTAAATATTTCTCAAGCAGCTCTTGCAAAAAGATGAAATCCATTGGACTCCATCTTCGTAGCTCCTGCTTGTGGTCAAAGAGTAGATTTTTTTATAAATCAGTTAATGCTTCCTGGCCAATGAGAATTCATAAAAATCAGAAAGTTTCAGCCACTCACAACAAAAACAATGTAAAGCTACAGATTACTTAAAAGTAATAAAATAGAGCCACAACTTTTTGTCCTTATATTTCACCATCAAAGATACTCCGCACTTCCTTATTTTACCTTGCCTTCAGCAGCCCTCTTCCTTGTTGTTTAACAATAAAGGAGTCCCAAAAAAGCCTTTTTTTAGCTAATAAAGTTAATCGATAAAGTGATTAAGAAATGAAAGGCATGACTTATTGTCCATTTGAAAAATAAATTCCAAAATAGCTGCTTTTTCAACAACAAAGTGATTGCA